CTTTGTTTCTAACCCAATTGTCAAATTTCTTTCTTACCGTGGCCTAGTGTTGTACGTCTTTTTTTAAAATGCCTTGATGGGCCCCTAGGCGAGAAGAGAGTGACCCTGTTTACCTGTTTTTTGATTTGTATATTTATTAATATACAACAAACTCAGACAACTATTTGTACCATGTTGAGTCTGGCTGAATGACTAAAAGTCTATGCCAAAAAAAAATTTTCATTTACCTTGATCTTTAAAATAAAACTTATTTTTTGCGGTTTTGTAAATTGTTTCATCAAAAAGTTGACATTATAACGAAAAAAAAATGGGATATTGTGAGGTAAAAACTTTATGTAAATAAAGAAAAATTAAATTTCAGAAGATGTAGAGCTCACCACACACACTACATAATATATAAAAAAATCGCACAGATCACGTTATATCGAGTTGCCGATCGACAGCTGAATAAATTTACGATACTACATTCGAAATCTGCAAATCAATCTAGTCGATTTTGACCTTGAGTGATATCTCTACATATGGGGTGATAAGAGAAGAAAAATAAGATATTGACAATAGCTGACACACGGATAAAAATTAAATATATTGTTTAAGAGACGTACAATAAAATATAAACTTTATTGGAACACAATATACTTACATTTTCAAAATATTCAAGTGACTTCCCACACTATTTTCTGTTCCGCTTCTGCATCACCTACTACACAATTTTTATTGTACTCATACCTTCACAATGGTTCCGATAATAATATTTATTATCAAATTTAGATAAAAAAATTGGTTTATTTTATTTTTTTGATAACAGTTTGTTTGACATAGGAAAAGATTAACTTTTCCCATGTCAAACAAAATCATTAGCAATCAAGTATCCTCTGGTGATCGTATCGATTTCAGTTGTACTCATAAAGTTACAAGTAGAAAAAAAATAATCAAATTTATATGTATATATAGGGTGCACCAAACGTCTGGCTTCTAGATTTTATATATAATACCTACCATATTTTGTTTTGTAGATATTTAGAGAAGAACTATAGATTTCATGTTTTTGCAGATTTTAGTTAGAGTCAAGTTTTTTATTCTCACTGCAATATAACAAACAAAACTTTTAAAAATTATAATCTTATTTTATAAACATAAATCAAAATACTGTACCGTTTTTAAATAAAACGTGCGGTTCGAATTTATATAAATATATTTATTTATAACTTTACAGTTCGGTAATCTCTCATCCACTAAACTACCTCAATCATCGTTACTTTTATATATACAAATTATAATGTTCCAGAAAATTCGGGAGTGCCCACCTCTAATTCGTGTCGTCGAAAGCCCATCGAAGACGTGCGCTATTGACATGCCAACTCTTCGAGCTTTCTAGAATTATCGTCCTAAGAATTGTGACACATCTGAGATCGGCTATTTCGTTACACTGCTCCCCTCGTAGATCTGAGCGTCCAGATCAGGAACTTCATCTATAGGCCCAGGATGGCGGAATCTACAGGACTCTCCAGCTCTGCATGAACCCCTCAGAAAGAAATAATAGTCTACTGTCTTTGAAGGACACGATCTCTTCGGATTAATGCAACACACAGTAATTTTTATACCGGTTTCTCGGAAGATCACTTTAAGCATGCTTCTGACAATCTTACAGTCCAGATTATCTAGTGAATGGTCTATCTTGGGTAAGGCCAGATTCTTAATGTCGTAATTGCAGACGATTTTCTTCAAATTAGTTAGAGCACACCATATATCCTCGTATGTTGCCCTGTCTGTATACGACTTCCTGGTCACCATATACAGCAAAGATCGAGAACCATGTTCTAATCCCAGTACTCTTCCAACTTTAGGCTGCTGGTTTTTTAACTCGTCCAAGCGACCGAATTTCTTATAAAATACGGATGAGATTCCTTTAGTCATCTCAAGATCTTGGGCAACACAGTGGGCTAGAGTGACGTTATGCGGAACACTAAAAAGATCCTGCTGAACTTCTGTCGTCACGCCGAATCTAGCACTCTTTCTCTCTGCGTAATTTGACATAAACTCATTAAAGCTTGGCCGCCGGTTATCTTTGATCTCATGTTGAAGGATTCGTACTCTTTGCTCCATGTATATTCTTTGCCTTCTTCTGTCAACTTTGTTAATGGCTTGGAGATGTTGGCAAATCCTTTGACAAAACGTCGGTAATATGTACAAACACCAAGAAAACTTCTAATTTCCTGTTTATCTCTTGGTACTGGCCAATCCTTAATTGCTGCAAGTTTTTCAGGATCAGCTGTTACTCCATTACTTGCTACAATATGTCCCAAGTACTTCACTTCTCGTCGAAACAAGTGACATTGCTTCGGAATCAACTTCAAATTCGCTGCCCGCAATCGTTGAAAGACTTCTGTCAGATTATTGGCATGTTCATCGAAGGATCTTCCAACTACAATTACATCATCCAAATAAACCAGGCATGTTTTCCATGTTAGACCTCTTAAAACTGTCTCCATTAATCTTTCAAATGTGGCCGGGGCATTACATAAACCAAAGGGCATAACTGTGAGCTGCCAAAGCCCTGATCCTATCGAGAATGCGGTTTTCTCACGATCAGCTTGCTCCATGTCTACTTGCCAATCCCTTTCAGATCGAGTGTGGAGAACCAACGAGAACCAGAAAGTGTATCCAAAGTATCGTCTATTCTGGGCAAAGGATAACTATCTTTTTTAGTTACTGCATTGAGCTGCCGGTAGTCAATACAAAAACGTATTAAACCATCTTTCTTCTTTACTAGGACGACTGGTGATGTCCATGGACTGTTTGATGGTTCAATTACCCCTTGTTTGTTCATATCTTTGATGATGTCTGCGGCTTCATCTCTTTTCGCAAATGGAGGTCGTCTAGGTTGTTGTCTGATTGGCTGAGCGTCTCCAGTATTAATTTTATGCTTTACTATGCTTGTTTTGCCATTATTCTTCTTATCAATGGCAAAAACATCTTGAAATTCTATCAGCATAGACTTAACTTTTTTAGTTAGTTCATCATTAAGATCTTGGCACGTTTTAATCATCGTCTCAACAAGCTCCATGGATACTTAAATTTCGACGGTTTCTGATTAGTATTCGTCGAACAAGTCGAAGCCACGGGAACACATTGTCCGATCAAAGTTCTTTTGCTTAACTTAATAGCAGTTCCCTTTAAATTCATAACTCTTACAGAAACGACATTTCGAATTCTCACCAAAGCTTTTGCCGTTAGGAACTCGGCATTGTTCACATCTTCGACCATCCTTAAACTTACCGGGTATTGTTACGTCACAAGTAGTTATTAAGCTCTTTGTCTTCATGAAACGGCAACTTTTCACCACTGATCTCGAGAACTCCATCTTTTACATTCAATACAGCCCCAACTTTCCGTAGTAAATCCATCCCCAATATGAACTCGTCGGAGATCTCTGCAATTAATACTCGATGTTTTACTGTGGTCTGGCCAATGGATACTGACATATTAGCCTCGCCATATGTATTAATTATCTCACCAATTGCTGTTCTAAGCTTTACTGTTGCAGACGATAATTTAAGATGGTCTCGTACTATTATGGCCGTGCTATAGTACTTGTTGCACCTGTATCTACCAAAAACGATATACATTTATTATTAATACGACCTCGATGTACAAGCTATGAATTCCACCGGAGGACGTAATATTCACAGTTACTATGGGGCTGTGTTTCTCGAGGTCGGCAGTTGCCCCTTGGTGTCGACCCGTTCTAGTTTTCCGACTGTTGTATTATTTTCTTGCAATTACGGCGAATGTGACCTACATCACCACAATTCCAGCATCTGGGCTCGCGTCTCTTCGGCATCGTGTTACGAACTACTTTTCGTACCATTTCTTCCAGACGTTCATCGTTTGGTTCGTCGCCTTCTTCAATGGTTCTTACTCGATGGCTCCGTGAAGTTTGACTAGCTGTTTCATGTTCCAAAGCAATAGCGAGAGCTTCATCTAGAACTTTCGGTCTTGCTAGTCGTAAAGCTTTCTGTAATTCACTTTCATTTAACCCATTGACGAAGGTATCTACAGCAATTTCTTCCAAAATGTTGTCTGGTACCTCCGGATAAGCCAACCGCACTATACGAGCAACATCTGCTTCAAACTCTTGCAAATTTTCACTTGCTCGTTGAACTCTACTTCTTAGTTGCGCCTTGTAGACTTGTTGTAGATGGGTATCTTCGTAACGTTTGTCTAGTCGAGTGAATAAGTTCTGATAACATTTCTCTTGACCCTTAGGAATCGATCTTAGGATATCCGCAGCATCACCTCGTAAGGCAGCAGTTAGGGAAACAGCTTTTTCTTGTTCTGTCCAATGATTGGCTGTCGCAATAGCTTCAAATTGTCTAAGGTATATGGACCAAGAGGACTTTCCATCAAACGGTGGCAATTTGAATCTCATATGATGTGTCATTTCGTCTCTAGGTGATTCTTCTTTCACTACCAAATCTAAAGCTACCGTATTAATTGGTGGTAGCACTTTCGTGTTAGTTATCATGGTCTCTAATTGTTTGATCTTCTCTTCTACGTTGTTATTTTCTGTACTGATCGATGTTTAGAGACTTCTTCAAATTTCTCATCGTTCTGATTACATACTTTGTCGAATCTTCTTGAAACCTTTTCGAGTTTCTCGTCGTTTTGTCTAGCTACTTCTTTAATAATTTGTGAAGTCTCGTCGAATCTTCTAGATACATTTTCGAATTTATCATTATTTTTCTAGAAGATTCTTCAATTTTTTTAGAAGTCTCTTCAATCATTTTCGAGACATTTTCAAATTTCTCATTCATTTTTGTTAAAACTATTTCTTCTGCTGATTGAAACTGGAATGTCTCTGGGTCATCTCCATTCTTATTAAGAACATTCTTTAGTCGTTCTTGCGTTCTTCTTAAAAATTACCATTAGCTTTAGACGAAGAAGTGGTCATAAGAATAACTACTTAAAAAATGTGAACATTAGGTTACAATAATTGTGCCAATATTTTTATAATTTTTATTATATCAGGTAGTACAATAACAGTATAGTTTTAACTCATAATCTGAAATACAAGCACTTTGTTCGCCGTATAAATTTAACCTACCAATTGAACCTACAATAGAGTAGCTATTAGCTTTTGACATATATCTCACTGTAGCTTCAAACAAGCCATTTCCAGGAACTGTTGTGAAACTTAACATGTAATCTGATACCTGATAATCCCCTGTTAATTCTTTACTATGCTCCATTACTCTTGCACTTGATATGCGATCTAACTTTAAAGCTGCACATTTAGAATGAGCAGAGAGTAGATCGTTTATATAGTTAACAGAGAAATTAGCTACAGTCTTAATAGTCTGATTATTGATATCAAGTTCTATACTCTTTTGACATGTACACCAGTGACTGACAACGCCTGTATCATCACACGTTCTATTTTCATTAATTCCTCTTAGTAAACTTACACCTCTGGACATATTGGTACTATTCGTATTATTATCGATATTTTCAATATGTAATAAATCAACAAAAGTCTCGTGCAAATCGAAGGGTGTTGTTAAAACTAACGAATTTTTTTGTAAATTACTGTAATGTTGTTGGTACTTGTGTCTGTACCATTCTGGAAGATACACATATAAGAACGGTAATCTTTCTTCCATCATTCCTTGAAATGTGCTTCTTATTCCTCCCCACCTAATCCCATGGTCGCTCATAACGAAGAGGACTGTATTATTAAGATGGCCATTTTCTTGTAAATATTTAAATACAGAATAATAATCATCATCACCGATTCTAGGTAAATTTAGATCATCATGAGATATGCTATTCTCCCAGAAGAAACCGAAATATTTTAATGAATTTTCTTTCATTGTTTGAATGAAGTTGGTCATATATTTTAAATGGTCTTTATGTACCCACCTTGCACCTTGGCAAAGTTTAACATTTCCAAAGCCAGTATTTCCTATGGTGCCTATAGCCTCTCGATCAAAATAACTGTAACCATAATCCGTTGGTTGTTTTTTAAAGCCTCTTTTTAAATAATTAAAGATTCCCATCCAAGATGAGTCCTCGTCAAAAGCTGTTACATAACCTAAAAAAGAAATTGTATAACATTTAATATATATTTTTTATACCAATTGAAATCGAATAATAACAAAATAAGCAATGAGCGTGCGTCTCAACAATATTAGTCAACGACTATGTTTTTTAGTTTATTCGTCTTCCGGGTTTGGACCGTGTCATTTGTGAGTGACCCAAAAGTGGGTTCATCTCGACGTTTCGCTACAATTGTATGTAGCTTCTTCAGGAGAACAAAGAAAAAGAAATCAAAAGACAGGAAGATGGGTAGTTAGCAACGGTAACTCAGTTACTCAACGCAACCAGAGGCGAATACTAACTACCAAAATGGGTATTTGGTCACAGTAACTCAACTACTTAACGCAGCCAGAGGTGAAAACCAAATGCCAGGACAGGGATTCACGTCCAACAGCTCAGAACACTAACGCGTCGAGAGGCGGGGAGTGAATTCGACGATTACTCCGCTACCGCTCTATTTATAATCGCGGTGACCAGTCGTGTCGGGACGTATCGGTACACTCCGTGGCGCAAACGTCAAGAAGCGCGCGCTGGCCAATCATGTGACTGCATCTTGGTAGCGGGACCGGACGGCGGCTCTAGACTGAGATTCCAGATGGAAGACAAGTAGTATCCTTCCTCTCGATTGATATTATGTGGATTTTTTCGGATCTCTAGAGACTCGCGGATTTTCCTGGAATTAAAGAAGGGGCTCTTAGAAATAATATGGGTTTTTTCGAACAATATGGAATGACCGGTTTCTTGGCAGTGTTCTGCAACTGCAGAATGGGAGAAAAGACCTGATCGAATGCATCTTTGATGCTCTTGAATCCGAGTTTTGACGGAACGACCAGTTTCGCCAATATACACATGTCCACATGAACAAGGAATAGAATAGACACCACAGGAAGATAGGGGCGGTAATGGGTCCTTAGGAGAGGGTAGATATTGTGAGATTTTCTTGGGTGGTCGAAAAGTAGTCCTGATACCTTCTTTGCGAAGAATTTTGAAAAACCTATCGGTGACACTTCGAATACACGGAAGAAAAACCACAGGAGTATTACCCGAAGATTCTGAATTTGTCGTCCTAGGGTGTAAAGGAGGATGTAGATGTCGGTGTGTAATGATTTGAATTGTGGACTTGAACTGTTGGCGTTCGTCCGTATTGTTCATAGAAACCCATATTATTTCTAAGAGCCCCTTCTTTTATTCCAGGAAAATCCGCGAATCTCTAGAGATCCGAAAAAATCCACATAATATCAATCGAGAGGAAGGATACTACTTGTCTCCCATCTGGAATCTCAGTCTAGAGCCGCCGTCCGGTCCCGCTACCAAGATGCAGTCACATGATTGGCCAGCGCGCGCTTCTTGACGTTCGCGCCACGGAGTGTACCGATACGTCCCGACGAATCGTCGGATTCACTCCCCGCCTCTCGACGCGTTAGTGTTCTGAGCTGTTGGACGTGAATCCCTGTCCTGGCATTTGGTTTTCACCTCTGGCTGCGTTAAGTAGTTGAGTTACTGTGACCAAATGCCCATCTTGGTAGTTAATATTCGCCTCTGGTTGCGTTGAGTAACTGAGTTACCGTTGCTAACTACCCATCTTCCTGTCTTTTGATTTCTTTTTCTTTGTTCTCCTGAAGAAGCTACATACAATTGTAGCGAAACGTCGAGATGAACCCACTTTTGGGTCACTCACAAATGACACTGGCCGTGGAAGCCTACGATTTCATTTGACTATGTTTTTGAAACTACAATACAGAGTGATGGAGAAAAATCATATCTAAATAGGTCAAGACAAATTTACAGTTTTATTTTCCAAGTATCTATCTACCTATAATATAATACATATCTCCCGTAACCAATCGAACACCACAATCTAATATATTTCCATAAAAAAAAACCAGCAATTATTTTTGATTCAATTGAAAATACCAAACTAGATGATTACTTGTCCGCTCTGTGTCGTCTGATACAATCAACCCAAATTATCTTCTGTTCAAAATTATCGAATATCAGATTATTTATATATTTCGCAAATGAAAAACGAGCTAAGGATTTTATAAACAAAAATGAAAAAATTCAAATAAACCAATAACTCCTACAAGCTCGTAGACTAATTAGCCACATTCAGCGATTAGTATTGTCCAAGTTTCAGACGACAAAGATACATATCTTCACTAAATAACCAGCCCTTACCTGAGTCTTTTCTTATCACACATGAGAAAACGATATACAGGATTTACCTATCATGAGATAACCAAGCCAAAGATGTAAACAAACCAACCACTTAACAAAACATAGCCCAATGTCTACTGAGATTACAACAGATAATTCAACATCAAACAATCTAGTTCCAAATATAGACCCAATTGAAAATACAACCAATATATCAACTTAAAAAACCCAGACAAACACTAAACAACAACAACAAAAGAAAAAAGCACACAAGAAACCCAACCACAAACTACCCAACAAGAAGAACCACACATGCAACCAACCAAAGAATATTCACAAACAAAAAACGACCCAAAAATAGATCTAGAAAATAGTTCCAAGTTCCAAATATGACCGCTAGAGGTCGCAGTGTATAGAATAAATAATATACATAATTATTTTGTTAAATATTTTAATATTTTCTGTAACCTTAAATACGTATTTTAAAGCTAAAACTAAATTGATAAAGGCACTGGTGAATCTTGTCCAACTTATACAACAATAACTGAAACAATTTTCACCTTTCAAGTTCAGAACGATGGAACAATCAAATTAGTATTTATTCACAAGTTTTTAGAAGAGCAACTAATATTATAAACTAAATTATAAACTATCATGAAGGTAAAGACATTGAATTTATGAAAGTGGCGGAAGAAAGCTGTGAAAAATTTTTGTAGGTTCTGTAGCTTGATAGCTGTAGCACAGAATAATAAACTAGCAGAATGTCCACTCTTAGGTGCCGCCTTTGAAGTTTTTCAGCACGCGCGCCATGTTTTAGAAGGAAACACAGACATATGATTTGTGAGGTTATGTAATTGATTATATTTATGTTTAATTATATTATTATTTATGTTATTATTTATGTTATTATATTTAACAATGTTAATATAATTGTATAGTATGTCTATGATTGCCGTAAGTCAATTAAACCAGGTTAATTTTTCTATGCACCTCACATAAACAACACTGGTTCCCTCTAAAATATGGCGGAACGTCTGCGTGAAGGAGATGCGCGTATTAATTTTCCATGGAGAGTGGGTATTCTGATTGTTTATTATTTTGTGTCTGTAGGGTCTGCTTGATAAAAGCAACTACATCGGCTTGTAGATGCCCTAACATTAATTATTTTGCTACCAAACACTGTTGACAATCAACATAAACTGATAGAGGAGATTAGTCTGTGATGACACGTTGGATATGATGGCACCCTACCAGTATCTCCTGAACGCAACCATACTACAATGTGCCAACTTCACAATGTACTGCATAAATGTGTAAACATCACTATATTCACAATACATATCCAATAGTAGTGTAAGTGGAATAAGACGGGTGGGGATAGTGTTTTGCATGGGCCCATCCGTTCGTAATGGCGGCAGCGCTACTAGTCACGTTAGGTGGGAGCGGGTGACGCATGTGCGGTGGCAAAATGTGATTCAGATTGGGACGCCATATTGCAAATTGAGTTTAATGTTTTGTTATTATCATCTTAAATTGTAAAAATTGTGTTTTACCATCGTTGAAATGGAACAAAATATAATAAAAGATAAATAAAATAGTCGGTAAAAACAGCATACATCAGTTTTTATATATCTAATTAACACTATTAAAGAAGAAGGTACATTACCAAAATGGAAGTATTTCCAATCAAAGAATATTTTTTGTTGATGGGTGAAAGTTAAAGTTGTACAAATGACTATTAAACATTCTGAGGATGTTCCAACACAACGAAAAACCATCACGTAACGGTTACGCTCCTGCGCACTAAACAAAATACGTTCCAACAAAAATATAATCGTTCATCTCATCGTCCTTCCTACCGTTCCAACAAAAATTTTGATCGCCCAATGACAGTTTCGTGACGATAATTTCAGTAATCTGGCAAATGCATGTACTAGTTGGGATGACTTGCGCACTAAGATTTTATTCTAGTTCTTTAAATTTGTTGGGCCTAGATTAGGTAACTTAAATTTTATATTAAAACTAAATTTGTTTAGAAAAAAGAAGAAGTTAGGTTAACGATTTTATCAGGTGCTTATGATAGACTTGTTATTTATTTATATATTTGTTTTTGGTTATTTATAACTTTATAAATATAACTGACGACGAAGGAATTATTGCTTTTTTTGATTATTATATTAGTGAGGATGATTTGGAGCTATTAGCCGAACCTACTGTAAAAAACCAGAATTATTTAGATAGATTATCACCAAATTATGTCAGTTGTCACAAAATCGTTCCAACATCAGTTTCCAAATTACCGTCATAAGACGATACAAATGATGAACATGCGCATTAAAAACGGTACAAGTAGTTTCGTGACGGTTTCCAGACCATACAAAAATTGCGTGTTGGAACAAACCTAATATTTACATGCATCAGGTAAGAACAGCACCTAATTATACCAAACTTAGTAAATACAAACTTGATACTATTTTGTACATTTTGATTTTGTAGTTAAATTACCTTTAAATCTTAAATAACATTAATCTTATATTTGTATACTATATATTTTAAAATCATTAAAACTAATAAACAAAACAAAATGACGGTATTAGATTTTGATTTGATACAGAGCAGCAACAAGCCGCCATTTTGTTTTGTTTATTTACTTCATTTGGAGTACCAGAAATCGAATTCACTACGAATATAGGCCATGATGAACGGCATTTGGAGAGCAATTTTTAGACTCCCTTGCCGATTCATTCATCAAGCTGTTTGCTTCGCAAGTTTTAGGGGGCGCGGCGGCTTATATTTGAATTCGATTTCGCCAGGTAGAAATCGTATGATTTCTCTTTT